ACATGTTAAATATAGGGGTGTACATGGTCCAGGTTGGATTGGATTGGGGGAGTTTTTTAACCCAACCCAAAAGTTCAGGTTGATTGAATTAGTAACCCAACTATAAACTTTTCACAACCCAACCCAACCCAACCCTCTTATTTCGAGTTAGGTTGTCAAATTTTTTTAGTTTTATTTATTCACAATTTATAATTATTTGGATACAATCTTAGATAAAATATATTAAAAGTTCACAAACAAATATATTCACAGAAAAAAATGAATAAAAAACAACGAGCGAAAATTGTAACATATTAACATAGTTTAACATTGTCATAAAACTAAAAGACAACTAAATATCAATATATTTTTGAGAATGGGTTAAAGTTATAAAAAAAAATAATGATAGATCATGAAATTAAATTTGACATACTCAGTACCATTCTGGCGTGAGTGTCCTTAGACATACTCAGTACCAGGCAAACTCATTAATATAGAAAGATTCTTAATATATTTTATATATTTTTATTTGGCTCCGGTCAACTCAAAGGTTTTGACCACGAACCTGAAATCGAACCGATTCAATTCGGGTTCAAAAAAATAAACTCAACCCTACTCGAAATGCTAATCCAACCCAACCCAACCCAACCCTTATAATTCGGGTTGAGTTGGTCCGAGCTATCGAGTTGAATGTACCCCTAGTTAAATGCATACCCTGCCCTAGAGAACTTGAGGATGAGCTCGATTCAGTTTCCAAACCCTAATTTGAATGCCCAAGTTAATTCATCCACACTCTTAGACTCTTGGCTTACTGTAATCTTCCACTTTCTAACTTAAGCATCCGAGTATGTTTGACAAGCACCATAACGATGTGGAGAGCTTCTCTTTTTTGTAGGTCGTCATCTTCTTCCTAAATCTATAAATTTACGGTTAAAGCTATGTGCAAGTCATATGTGTTATCTTATTCAGATTTTACCATCAATAGTTGGTGTCATCTATGGAGAGGGTAAAAGTACGTTTAAAGACCTGTGCACCCAATTTCGAAAGGACGAGCACGAGATTGGTAGACATTAACTCTAATGAAGATGACTCCTACCAAGACCGCCATTCATGGAGGACACGAGACGACAAGTCTCCACGGCCTCAACCACAAAAGTCTCACTCCGAGGAGAAATACGAGATGAAGTTGGCAAAATAGATCGATGTCTTGCTTGGCTATTAGAGACCCTAGGTCAACAAAGTCCTTTTATCAAAGAGCATATGAGAAGGTTCACGATCCTACGAAAGGAAAGACTCTGATGGTAAAAAGCACGGACAAGTCAAATTCTCGTGATCTAAGGCCAAAAGAGAAACTAATCCTAAGCGGGAATTGACACTAGATACGAGAGGATGAGAGAGAGGTGAATATGTGAAATCAGGTTCATAAAACATCTATTTATTTATTTTTAAATATTTAATTAAGATTTATTACTCAATTTAAATATATATTTTTAATAAATAAAATTATTTATAAAACTTTTATTTAATATGCCCTAAACTTTTTGGGCTTATATGATGTTATTGCCAAATTTTTTCATAAAAAAAAAATCGAGAAAAAGAAGTAACATGTAGAGTGACGTCACCATCTATACAGAGGTGCCTTACCTTTACCTGAGAAGAAAAGTAACACGTGACTTGAGTATTTAAAAACATTCAATAAATAGCCTCACTATTGTAGTAAAAATAAATGCAAACACGAGCAATCACGGTGGGACCTATCCTTTTGTAGAACATCATGACCTTGGTCTTTACTTTTCAATTCGGGTAAAATTGGATGTGGAGTACTCCTCCACACATAACACACACACACACACATGGGACTCAGAACTGACTCATATATGTACTCCTTGGCCTGACCTTCGATAAACGTACATTCACATTGTCGGAAGCTACAGGAAAAAACGGGACGCATAATTTAATGTTGTACATAATATCATAGTATACACGTTCGCACTAATCATATCCGCATAATTTAATGTTGTACATAATATCATAGTATACACGTTTGTACTAATCATATCAGGAAAATATCTCAATACACGTGATATACAAAATGCATGAGGTCCAACCAAGCCAATATTAAAGTCAGTTACTTAGTCGACATGCCGAAGTCACTACATTACTTTGATGCTAACTTAAAACAATGAAATTGACTCATCTAATTTGTTGAAGAGATCAGTTGACCTCGAAAAGGTTGTCCTCTTTGGGCTTCCACACCTTTATAAATGGTATTTTGTTCTCCTCCCCAACCAATGTGGGAACACCACAATCCACCCCCTTCGAGGCCCAGCATCCTCGCTGGCACTCATTCCTTTCCCCAATCGACGTGGGCCCCCCTCCAAATCCACCCTCCTTCAGGGAACAGCGAGAAGGCTGGCACATCGTCTGGTGTTTGGCTCTGATACCATTTGTAACGACATAGATCCACCCCCTTCGAGGCCCAGCATCCTCGCTGGCACTCATTCCTTTCCCCAATCGACGTGGGCCCCCCTCCAAATCCACCCTCCTTCAGGGAACAGCGAGAAGGCTGGCACATCGTCTGGTGTTTGGCTCTGATACCATTTGTAACGACATAGATCCACCCCCTTCGAGGCCCAGCATCCTCGCTGGCACTCATTCCTTTCCCCAATCGACGTGGGCCCCCCTCCAAATCCACCCTCCTTCAGGGAACAGCGAGAAGGCTGGCACATCGTCTGGTGTTTGGCTCTGATACCATTTGTAACGACATAGATCCACCCCCTTCGAGGCCCAGCATCCTCGCTGGCACTCATTCCTTTCCCCAATCGACGTGGGCCCCCCTCCAAATCCACCCTCCTTCAGGGAACAGCGAGAAGGCTGGCACATCGTCTGGTGTTTGGCTCTGATACCATTTGTAACGACATAGATCCACCCCCTTCGAGGCCCAGCATCCTCGCTGGCACTCATTCCTTTCCCCAATCGACGTGGGCCCCCCTCCAAATCCACCCTCCTTCAGGGAACAGCGAGAAGGCTGGCACATCGTCTGATGTTTGGCTCTGATACCATTTGTAACGACACAGATCCACCGCTAGCAAATATTGTCCTCTTTGAGCTTTCCCTTTCGGGCTTCCCCTCAAGGCTTTAAAATGTGTTTGAAAGGGGAAGGTTTCCACACCCTTATAAATGGTGTTTTGTTTTCCTTCTCAACCAATGTGGGACACAGATCCACCGCTAGCAGATATTGTCCTCTTTGAGCTTTCCCTTTCGGGCTTCCCCTCAAGGCTTTAAAATGTGTTTGAAAGGGGAAGGCAGATCCACCGCTAGCAGATATTGTCCTCTTTGAGCTTTCCCTTTCGGGCTTCCCCTCAAGGCTTTAAAATGTGTTTGAAAGGGGAAGGCAGGTAGCTTTCCCTTTCGGGCTTCCCCTCAAGGCTTTAAAATGTGTTTGAAAGGGGAAGGTTTCCACACCCTTATAAATGGTGTTTTGTTTTCCTTCTCAACTAATGTGGGACACAGATCCACCGCTAGCAGATATTATCCTCTTTGAGCTTTCCCTTTCGGGTTTCCCCTCAAGGCTTTAAAACGTGTTTAAAAGGGGAAGGTTTCCACACCCTTATAAATGGTGTTTTGTTCTTCTCCTCAACCAATGTGGGACATCACACTCATAGATGTGTGACAACTTTTTATTATTTTTATTGTTTTATTTTACTTTAAATTTTTTATTTTATTCTATTTATGTGTGATGAACCTGTTAACTAGATTAATAAACAATGATATTTTTTTGAGAGATGTTCATGGGTTAGGTTGGGGTAGATTGAAAGTATCTTTTGAATCAATCCAAAAATTTTAGATTGGTTGGGTTGATGGTTCGAGCCACTCGAATAGAATTCACAACTCAATCCAACCCACTTTCTATTTTTTAGTTGGGCTGGGTTGGGTTGGATTGTCGAATTGTGGGATTCCTCATTTAGATGGAAAATGGAGGGAATGGGAAACATTTTTTCACTGTTGGATAGATGAGGTCGGAATGTTGAGGATTGTCCCACATTAGCTAATTTAGGGAATGATGGGGTTCATTGAGTTCATAAGCAATGAATACTATCTCCATTGGTACGAGACCTTTTGAGGAAGCTCAAAGCAAAGCCATGAGAGTTTATGCTCAAAGTAGACAATATCATACTATTGTGGAGAGTCGTGATTTCTAACATGGTATCAGAGTCGTGCCCTAAACTTAGTCATGTCAATAAAATCCTCAAAGTCAAAGGTGACTAAAGTGTCGAACAAAGAGTGTACTTTGTTCGAAGACTCCAAAAGATGAGTCAAGCCTCGATTAAGGGGAGGCTGTTCGAGGGCTCCATAGGCCCTAGGGGAGGCTCTATAGCGTACTTTGTTCGGGGAGAATTGTTGAGGATTGCCCCACACCCCGCCTTTTGAAGAAAAGATAGACACAGGGAAGGAGGATTGCCAAAAGGCGTTTCACAAAGTGAAGAAATCTCCATTCAATCCAGACTCTTCGGATTTTTCTTCTTTCGAACCCCATAGAATTTTGTTCTTTGTTCTTTATATTTATGAATCGTTCATTCTAATCAGTGCGATGGTCATTCTGGCTAGATCATTTTGTTCTAGGATTCTTCATCTCAATCTATATTTGACTTTCTTTCTTTTTTGGATTTTTACTAGAGTCGAAGGAAATGGAAGAATTTATCGGGAATCCTACCTCTTTCAGACAAGACCTGATTTTTGCTTTCTAAAACAGACCAACAATCAGATCCCTGTCGTTCGCGCATTATAAGTAAGGAATACATCTACATTGGTATAAGACTTTATGAGAAACTCAAAGCAAAGTCACGAGAGCTTACGTTGACGACGATATGGTACCATTGCGGAAACACATTATGAATTATGTTATCCAAAAAATGGGTGTGCCCCACATCATTATTAAATGAATAATGAGAGCAATAATTTGGGTTTTGGCGTTTGGATGCGGAGCCTTCAACTCCCACCTTCTCCACGTTCTCTACTAAGCTATTTAATCCCTTTGTTTTGGTCTCTAATATCTTGATCCTCGTCTACTGTGTGCAAGGAATAGATAAGACTGGTGCCTCAGGTTTTTTGCCTTCTCCGATCTTTTACAGGTAAACGTGTCTGAATTCCATTTTCCATCCTTTTTTTCTGCTTTTTGTATCAACCGATTGGTAGATTCATGAATAATTTCTGTCTCTGTTCATCTTTCGGTTCTGATTCAGTTCCGTTTTAGCTTAGCATCTCAATCGCGAATTAATTCCTTGCCCTTCAGCTTTTCTGTTTTCGTTTTCATCCGGAGTTTATGAACTTTTACACGGATCGTTACTTTTATTCTATTGTTATGTAGTTTTAGGCACTGGATCTTTTTTTTGTTTCTCGATTTGTTTGATTTCTTAGGTAAGTTTGATTTTGATATGTTCGTATCTTGCAGATTGTTGAGGACACTTTTCTCTTTGAAATTCTCTCTGTATTAGCGCTGTTGCTTAGAACAGATCGTTGGTAAATGGGGTCGGAAGGGCCTCCATCGGTTATCATTCATGTAACGGGGTTTAAGAAGTTCCATGGAGTTTCTGAGAATCCAACTGAGGCGGCAGTGAACAATCTCATGAAGTATATGGAGAAGAATGGTTTGCCTGAAGCTCTAACTCTTGGGAGTTGCAGCATTCTTGAGACTGCCGGACGTGGAGCTCTTGATGCGCTGTATAAAACGTTGCAATCTGCAATAGAGGGGAAGGGCCCTGAACCCACTAATTCCAGAAGAATCATCTGGGTTAGCTATTCCTGCACCTACCTCAATCCTTAAGAGTTCAGGATGCATTAATCTGTGTTCATTTACCATTTCCTTCGCTTAACTGTGATTTATGACAAAAGAAACTGCAAATCTTAAAGTGGAACTTACTCAAGTTTGTGCGTTGCATCATGTTAAAACTGTTCTGAGTGATGACTTACAAATTGTTACTGTTCTTGCTTCAGCTTCACTTGGGAGTTAATAGTGGTGCTTCGAGGTTTGCTATCGAACGTCAAGCTTTTAACGAAGCCACTTTTCGTTGTCCTGATGAAATGGGATGGAAGCCTCAGGTATATAATTTGGTTAATCGGTGTTTATCTCTTAATCCTGTGGGTTTAGTTTGCATCTATTTTTCTGGGAGTTTGATCATTTGGTATTTTACTTTCATCTACTGCAGAAAGAACCAATTGTACCAGAGGATGGTGAAATTTCACGTACACGAGAGGTAGGATGAAATTTATGTCTTTTGGAGGCCATTTTTCTGAGTATATTAAACTTTAGGGAATGCCTTAGTGCTTGAGTTGTTTTTCTGCGTTGAGAACCAGATTTTGTTTCTCTTTTACAAAATACAGAGGCTGAGATATCAGCATCTGTTGAAATTTGAGGGTTAGTCGGCTCCTATGAAGCAAGAACACTTTGGTTAGGATTTGAACATACTGAACACTCTAATTCTTTGATATTTGTCAAAAATGTGTAAAACAATATTGAGAGAGCACTTGAAACACATATATACAGCACTTATCAAACACATTGCACTAATTGAACACCAAATTCTTTTTAGTACAACCGTATGTGGGGGAAGAATTTGAACATCTGATCTCTTAGTCGAGAATATATGTGTTAACCAGTTAAGTTATGCTCAGGTTAGCATTTATTGAACACATTATGGGGTGGAGATTTGAACCTCCAATCTTTTGGCTGATGACATATGCTTTAACTAGTTAAGTAATGCTCATGTTTGACACTTATCGAACACATTAGAGGAGCAATGTTTTATGAGTATATGTTTTAGGATCGGATCTTTGATAATAGTTAATTGTCTTTTTCTAAAAGCATGCATTCGTGAAAATATTGAAATGTATGACAATATTCAAATGTAATTCATCTCAATGTGTCCCAATTGTGTGTTATCTGTGTCCGTTCTCTTACCGAAGTTGGTGGTACAACATCAAAACATTTTAATGATTGAATCATCTTGGGGGGTGTATTGTGAGATCCCACATCATTGGAGAGGGGAATGAGTGTTATCTGTGTGTTATCTGTGTCCGTTCTCTTACCAAAGTTGGTGGTACAACATCAAAACATTTTAATGATTGAATCATCTTGGGGGGGTGTATTGTGAGATCCCACATCGATTGGAGAGGGGAATGAGTGTCAGCGAGGACGCTGGGCCTAAAGGGGGGTGGATTGTGAGATCTCACATCGATTGGAGAGAAGAATGAGTGCCAGCGAGGACGCTAGCCTCGAAGGGGGGTGGATTGTGAGATCCTAGATTGATTGGAGAGGGGAACGAAGCATTCTTTACAAGGACGTGGAAACTTTTCCCTAGCATATGCATTTTAAAACCTTGAAGAGAAGCTCGGAAGGAAAAGTCCAAAGAAGACAATATCTGCTAATGGTGCTAGCGGTGGGTTTGAGCTGTTACACATATGGCATAATCTTTGATTAGTAAAAGTAGCACCCTTTCAGCTGGTTCTTATTACTATCATTGATGGTCTTAAATTCTTGAAGCATGTCTTGAATGTGTTTTCTTCTTTTCCTGATTTCTTACCCAACTCTGGCTTGCAGAGTTCTCTTCCAGTGGAGGAAATAACCAAGACACTGGCAAAGAAGGGATATGAAGTGATGACTTCAGACGATGCTGGTCGGTTCGTGTGCAATTACGTGTACTATCATTCCCTCCGCTATGCAGAAGAGCACGGGACCAAATCGCTATTTGTTCATGTTCCTCTCTTCTTAACTATAGATGAAGATACCCAGATGCAATTTATTGCTTCCTTGTTAGAGGTACTTGCATCTTCAAGTTATTAGGCTTCCAATGTATAGGAAGAGGGTGTATTGGGGTGATGCTTGTTTATCAAAATGCTTGAATAAACCAAATAATAATATGCTTCAAGGGCTAATATATGTATTTCAAAATATGTTATCCATACTTGAGATGATTTCGACTACTCGTCTGAGATCAATAACATTTGGAGCCTTCGATGCCTCGTTTATGAGTCAAAAGTTAAGTTTGATTAGTTGTTTGCTTAATTTCTTTATCGACTCTTCTCATATTACATTATGGCATTCTATCATGATGATCTCAACAAGCTATGAAAGATTTAGAGTGACATCAAATCCTTGAATAAATGATTCAACATATGAACTCAGAATGATTTACAGGCTTATAAACAATGATGGATGCTGTTTAAAATTCAGAATGATTTTAAGATTCATAACAATCCCAACGCGCTTTGAATTGTTGATTAAATTTGTGCAGGACTAAAAAGATAGAACACGTTCTTAAGATTGGTGAAAACGGTCACCTTCCTAGCTAGATTAGTTATTTGTCCTACTTTAGTGATAGAGATCATTTTTTAGTTGGGAAAATGGACACATTATAGATTTTTTCTCTAGTTTTCTAGTTTGTGATGTAAAATTATTTTTGTAGGATTTAAACAATTGTTTTTATGATTTCTTGTGATTTTAGTCGGGTGTTCTAGTCGATCATGTGTAAGAGTGATACAAAATAAGGCATTCTAATCATACCAGAAGGACTTGATGTTGTTCGAAGATGACAACAAAATAGAGTTGCATTAAATGAACTCATTTGCAACTCATGTTTTGTTAGGTTATTGTTAGGTTATGGAGATGCTAGTTAGTAAAGCTGCTGTATTTGGTAAATGAGTAAATTGTGATGGGATAGGAGATAAATAGTAAATAGCTATGTATAGTAAAAACTATATCGGGTAAAACTATATATGGTATAGGAGATAGTTATATCTGGTAAAGCTAAATATAGTAAGCTAAACCATACCATAGCTCTGAAAATGTACTTTCTATATTCTCTATAAATCATTTAGTCAGAGTTCTTCTTGCATTTTCTCTATCCTGTTTTTTGTGTTCATTTAGATCGAGTGTGTGCGTTGTTGTGCGATCCTAACAACTGGTATCAGAGCTAGGCAGAAGTCACCACGATCTGTGAAGATGGAAAGTTCAAAGATTGGAATTGAGAAGTGTGATGGATTCAATTTCGGTTTCTTGAAAATGTAGATTGAAGATTATCTGTATCAAAAAGGTCTTCACGATCCCTTGTTGGGGGTGATGCCGGATACCATGACCACGGAGCAGTGGAAGCTCAAGGATCGACAAGCCTTAGGGCTGATCCAGGTGACGCTATCCAGAAACGTGGCGTTCAATATCATCAAGGAGAAGACAACATCAAATCTGTTGAAGGTGCTGTTGAATATGTACGAAAAATCGTCGGTTATGAATAAGGTGTATTTGATGTGGAGATTGTTCAATATACAGATGTCTAAAGGTGGATCTGTTGTTGATCATATAAATGAATTCAATATGATCGTAAGTTAACTGAGTTCGGTGGAAATTAATTTCGAGGATGAAATTAAAGCATTGATTTTGATGTCATCTTTACCCGAGTCGTGGGATACTGTTGTTGTCGCAATCAGCAGTTCGCGAGGATCTAATAAACTGAAGTTCGATGAAATTTGAGATGTAGTTCTCAGCGAAAGTATTCACATACGAGAAATTAGAAATTCATCTGGTAGTGCTCTCAATGTTGACCAACGAGGAAGAAGTAAACCGAAGGGCCCAAACAAAGGGCGATCAAAATCAAAGAACCGAGAAAATTTCCAAATAGACAAATGTAACGTGTTGGAATTGTGGAGAAAAAGGTCACTTTCGGACAGGTTGTACAAGACCAAAGAGGAAGCAGAATCACAAATCTGGAGAGGATGATGATTCTATAAATTCAGCAGAAGACATTGGGGATGCTCTAATCCTCAGCGTTGACAGTTCGATTGAATCCTGGATTTTGGATTCAGGTGCATCTTTTCATTCATCTCCAAATAAAGAGTTGTTCCAGAATTTCAAGTCTGGAAATTCCGAGAAGGTGTATCTTGCCGACAACAAAGATTTGGAGATTAAAGAAAAAGAAGATGTCTGCATAAAAACTCCGGCAAAAAATCAGTGGACATTAAAGAATGTCAGATATATTTCTGATCTCAAGAAAACCTGATCTCTATTTGTCAATTGGACAGCACAGGTTATGCAACAAAGTTAGGGAAGAGTTCGTGGAAGATTATGAAGGGTGCTACGGAGGTAGCACGTGGCTCAAAATCTGGAACCTTATATACCACTGCAGGGTGTATGAACATAGCTGTTGTTGCTGAGAGTGCTTCAAATTCAAGTATATGACACTAGACTTGGACATATGAGCGTGAAAGGAATGAAGACACTGACTGCGAAAGGAGTTTTAGAAGGTCTGAAATCTGTTGATGTGGGTCATTGTGAGAACTATGTTATGAGCAAGTAGAAACGAGTTAGCTTCACAAGAACTGCCAGAGAATTGAAGAAAGTGCGGTTGGAAATGGAACCAGATGTGAAGCAAGGTTTGACGAAGCAAGTGGGAGTTGAGCTTGAGTTAAGGAAAACTCACTTAGTGATATTGTAGCAAATACTCATGAAACTCCTGAGACTATTGCTGAGGAACCAGATGTGAAGCAAGGTTCCAAGACCACGAAGCAAGTAGGAGTTGAGCTTGAGTTGCAGGGAAACTCACCTAGTGATGTTGTAGCAGATACTCAAGAAACTCCTGAGACTACTACTGAGGAACCAGATGTGGAGCAAGGTTCCAAGACAACAAAGCAAGTGGGAGTTGAGGTTGAGTTGCGGAAAAAATCACCTAGTGATCTTATAGCAGATACTCAGCAAACTTCTGAGATTGTTGCAGAGGAACCAGTAGTAGAGCAAGTGACACCTGAACCGGTGTTGAGAAAATCATCCTGTACTATCAGAGTACCAGATATGTATGTACCTTCATTACACTATCTGTTGCTGATGAAAGGGAATTAGAGCCCTTTGATGAGGCCCTACAGTTGGAGGATACAACAAAGTAGGAGCAAGCCATGGATGATGGGACGTCTAGGCTTCAAAAATGCGTTGTACTGAGGCTGAGTACGTGGAAATAGTTGAAGCTGAAAAGAAGACGATATGGATGACTGACTATCTGGAAGAATTGGGCAAGAAGCAGCACGAAAAGATTCTTTATAGAGATAGTCAAAGTGTCATACAGTTGGTGAGGAACCCGGTCTATCATTTAAAGATAAAACACGAAAGATGATACCATTTCACTTGCAAGTTAGTGGAAGATGGTGGTGCGTTTTGAGAAGATAGATGGTGCAAAGAATCCAGCAAACATGTTGACAAAATGTGTTGATGTTGGAATATTGAGGTTGTGCAAAACCTCAATTGGTATGGTGCAGTGAAGATATTCATGATCGTTTGAGAATGAAAATCTTGGTTGACTGGATCAATCTCCAAGTGGGAGAATTGTTAGGTTATGGAGCCTGCTGCTTATTTATAACTGAGTCAACGATTATACATAATAAAACTATATTTGGTACATGACATATAATATAAATTGTCATAAATAGTAAATAGCTATGTATAGTAAAAAGCTACATCGTTCTAGTTACTTTAAACTACTTCAAGTGGAGCTTTAATTACTCTGGAATAGGTTAGCTTGTTAGAATATTATTCTCGGTAGTGACATTTCATTGTATATTTTTAATTTTGTAGTATTATTTTTAAGGTTTCAAGTTATAATTTATGTAGGGACCATTATGATATTGAAGGGCATATGAGAATCACAACCTTTTAGTTGGCCTCACAAATTACTCTATGGTTCGTTTTTATAGATCTCGTCCTTTTCTAAAAGCTAGTATTTTATAAGATAATGAGTTCGTTCATTATATTATATTAATTGGTTGTCCATTGTTTTAGTTTAAAATCTTTCAATTGAGCACGGTTAGATCTAGAAAAAATTGATTCAATCTTCAATTACATAAATCGAGCCTAATTATACATGATAAAATTTCAAACATGTGGTGTAGCAAGAAAAGCACTTTGCAATGGAAAAGCTTGGTTCAAAGTCACTTCAGACCGATTACTCCCCATGTAAGTGATAGCATTAAAGCTTTGCCACCATGGTGGATTCAACCAGAGAACAAAGGAATTAAAAGGAGAAAACTCAAAAAAGAAGTGAAAAGAAAGCTTTCTTGATTCCTTACATTTCCTTTTGAAAAAGAAGAATCAAATGAAATACAAACAACCACGTAACGGAGGAGAGGAGCAAAAACGCTTTACCTCGTTCAATCAGTCCGAAAATGAAAACACCTATTTATTTACCTCGTAAAAGAATAGTGAAACCCCAGTGAAAGAACCCGAGTAATAGAAGTCCAGGAGCGATGCAGCTAAATCGACAGGTTTAGGAGCGAAGAAGCTCGATCATAAAAGAGAGGAGTAGATCATCCAGCCGCTTTACCGAGTTTACAAGGCAACAGAGTCCTCTGGGCAAGGGAAAGTGGTTTTAAAATATAATCCAAACAAGAATGTATATACATTATGGGCCCTTCTGGTCTGAGGGTGTGGGGGCAAAGAAAAGATGCGAGTGAGGAGCAGAAAGAAGAAGATGAAAGTCCATGTTCATAAAAGAGTACAAGAGGAAGTAGATACATCATATCATATCATCATCATCTGCACATGGAGATAAAAAGGTTGCCAGTTTCGTCAAGGGCAGCCGGACCAAGAAATCCGCTGCCAACTTCACCTTAACTACGTCCAAATCCTAATACACATTAAAACACCCGAACCCGAATTCGATACACATGGAACATTAGATATAGAGAGAGTTGTTACCCATTCATTAAGAACATATCTAGATCTGCTCTTTCAAAACAAGGTAGAAGTAGGTAAGGTAATACAGAGATATACTCATAGCAGCAAACAGAAGGAATAGCACAGACTCGGACGTTGTAGCTTTTGTTGTCAACACGACACCACCGGTGAAATGGTTACGTTTCTAATCAAATTCACAACCCAAGAAATGGACACTGTTTTCTTGCATGTTCTGGTATCAATTTCCCCAATATCTCAACAGCCACACCCTTCAATTCTAGTCAAATGAAGCAGCAGCAGCAGTAGCCACAACAACATTAAATGCAGAAGATTAATTA